CTCACTCTTGGCGCCGCCCAGCGGCTTCCAGGCCCCCGTACGCGCCGCAAACACAGCTGGGCTTGGACCCAAACCTCCATCCTGTCCTGCCGGGTCCTGTCCTGTCCGGTTGGAGGCGGCGGTTGGGCTCAACGCCAGGCGCGCGCCCTCTGCTGGCCGTTGGGGCGCAGCGAGGGGAGCGGGGAGCTCGCGGCCGAGCGTTAGTCGCTCGCCCCCTGGCGGCCTCTCGCGGAATCGCTGACATTCTGGTCCCTTGCTCTCTGCTCCTGGCGGAGGGATGCTCGGCTTCAGCCTTGCCTGCTTCCTTTACTGGGATACGCCTTGGAGCCACTGCTTAAAAGTACGGAAATCTTCATGCCTTTGACATGTCTGAATAGGATCCCCTCTCGGTCAGGCCTGAATGCAAAGACCTGCTCCAAGTTCTCTTGGGAAACAGGACATAGCCTCAAAATCCAGAAGATGCAAGACACCTGTTTTCATAACCACATTCTCCGGGCTTCAACCATCTGAACACGGAGGGCCACGGTGGTGCTTGAGATAAGATCTCCTGGAGAAACCACCCTCCAGCCTTGATCACAGACTGGAAGATGAAAGCAGAAATTCTTCTAGTGTATCTGCTTGGGAATCACTGTCTATAGATTCTTCTAGGAAATCACCACCTGAAGACAAAGATGGGGAGGTGGTCGGGGTGAAATTGAAGGGTGCTTTCCCCTCTTTTGGCCTTACCCACAGGAAAACCATAGAGGAAGTTACACCTGTGACTTTCTGATCAGTTATACAGATTACTGTTTGCTCAGCTGAAAAAGAAATCCATTCTCTTCTGTCCCAGCTATTAATAGTCTTAAAATAATGAAAATGACACTTTCTCCTTGTTATTTCCATCCACTCTAGTCAACATGGAATAGCGGGCTCTATTCCCATTCGAAATCCAAAATTAGGACATGTAGTTCTGGACACCACTTCAGCTGAAAACCAAAACAGACAGGCATGTGAGTGCTGTGTGCGCTCTGTTGTGTGCTACCATGTTCGCCCTTCTTTATCCACGAAGCATAGCTGTGTTCTATCTTTTCACCGCCAGGGGTATTGTCTTTGATGGCCTGATCGATTTTTAGAATGACTCTCCAGGGGGCCCAAATATGTCTGTTGGTGGAGAGTGTATATCACCTGGTTTCCTTGGTATCCAGCCTAGAGCCTACCATTTCAGGAACTCTTGTCTGTATATACTTGAAGTTAATAATGATGGCCATAGTAACAGAAAAACACACATACCTGTTATAGGTGATTTGAGAGGATGATAGTTGATCCAAAGACACATTTTAAAGGATCCATGGCTCTAACTAGGGAAGTTACAAATGAAAAATGTATGGGATATCAGAAAAAATAATCATTTCATTATATTTTCTTAAAGATTGGCTTTGCACAATTTGGAGCATCAGGATGAGAAAGGAGGGTGTAGCTGTTACTGGAGGCCTCGGTCTCCATTGTCCTGTCAGCCCTCTTCGGGATCCTGAATAACTGCACGGATCTCCCCAGGCATTCTTAGTCTTCCTCCGGGAATAGAGAAACAGCTGAATCTAATAACATTTTCAAAGACCTTGGAAAACCAGCCATTCTCCAATTCTAGTCTCTGCCTTTGGGAAAAAACCATGAATTTCTCTTTTGAAGGATCAAAGATGCTGAATTTTACTGACTGAGTTCCATCCATGCCCTCTTCCTTGAGTTGTTTCCCTGAGTTTAATTTTTTTTTTTAATCAGTTTTCAGGTCATATCTTTGAGTATAAAAAATGTGCAAACAAGGAAATTGGTTTGTTGTGTTTTTAAAGAGTCTTATTACACACCGTATAAAAATGAACAGGAGCTTATATGCCAAACACGTCCGCTCTCTTCCACTACTCACTAAATGAGACATTTTTTCCAGCATCGTAGGCATTATCTGTGGCCAGGTAAAAGAACCCTGGTCCTCTATGTGTGCCTGGAAGGGATAGGTACTGTGCAGAGATCTGGCCTGTGAAATCATATGCACCACTATACTTTCGTATTAGTACATTTTTACGCTGCTGATAAACACATACCTGAGACTGGGCAATTTACAAAAGAAAGAGTTTTAATTGGACTTACAGTTCCAGGTGGCTGGGGAAGCCTCACAATCATGGCAGAAGGCAAGGAGGAACAAGTCCTGTCTTACAAGAATGGCAGCAGGCAAGGAGCGAGAGTCTGTTCAGGGAAGCTCCCATTTTTAAAACCATCAGCTCTTGTGAGACTCATTCACTATCATGAGAACAGCACAGGAAATACCCACCCCTGTAATTCAATCACCTCCTACCTCGTACCTCCCACCAGGCTCCTCACACATGGCAATTGTGGGAGTTATAATTCAAGATGAGATTTGGGTAGTGACACAGCCAAACCATGTCAGCTTTCTTCCCTATACAGGGATTAGAATAACCTAAGAACCACAAATACACCGTCATACATTAATGATATCAAAGCCTCAAAACACCAAGTAACTCATGTTCTGAATCACTGGAAGACAGCCAAGCAGGTGAGTCCCTGATGAGAAATACCTGCACCAGCCTTTTATATGAAAGAAAGATAAATTGGCAGTACAATCAAGCTACCAATCACTGTTTATAATACCTACCAGTCTTAACAAAATACTCTTCTGAAGAAAGTGTCACAAGGTAAGTTCAAACATAAGAACAGCAAATGCTATTTTATATCATTATAATAAATGAAAGAATATTACAAATAATAAAGTTATTCAAAGAATATAGATTTTCTTCTTTCTAAACATTTTTGTAACTCAGAATGTACAAGATATTGTCAAAATAATTCCATGATTTTGGTAATAATGGTTGCCAGTAGGAGCAAAAAGAATTGATATTTCTTTTTGAGCTGGGCAAACAATCTGTATAATTGATGAGAACGAGCCACAAGTACAATTCCCTTTACAGTTTTCCTGTGGGTAATGTCAAAGGAAGGGAAATAAACCTTCATATTTTCATTTAATATAATTTTTTTAAAGATGGGGTCTCGTTATGTTGCCCAGGCTGGTCTCGAACTTTGGCTTCAAGGGATCCTTCTCCCTCAGCCTCTCATCTCTCTCACCTCCTGCCTCTCAAATGCCAGGATTATAGGTGTGACACACTGCACCTGGGGAAGAAAGCACTTCAATTTCACCCCTAAAAACCTCCCAGGCAAAGACTGAATTTCTTTCCCTTCAGATGGGGGCGAATTTTTAGAAGAACTTATAGACAACGATTCCCAAACAAGGACAAAGTAGATTTTCTGCTTTCATCTTCCAGTCTGTGATCAAGGCTGGAGGGTGGTTTCTCCAGGAGATCTTATCCCAAGCACCACCGTGGCCCTCCGTGTCGATGGTTGAAGCCTGGAGAATGTGGTTGTGAAAACAGGTGTCTTGTGTCTTCCAGATTTTGAGGCTATGTCCTGTTTCCCAAGAGAACTTGGAGCAGGTCTTTGCATTCAGGCCTGACCGAGAGGGGATCCTATTCAGACATGTCAAAGGCATGAAGATTTCCGTACTTTTAAGCAGTGGCTCCAAGGCGTATCCCAGTAAAGGAAGCAGGCAAGGCTGAAGCCGAGCATCCCTCCGCCAGGAGCAGAGAGCAAGGGACCAGAATGTCAGCGATTCCGCGAGAGGCCGCCAGGGGGCGAGCGACTAACGCTCGGCCGCGAGCTCCCCGCTCCCCTCGCTGCGCCCCAACGGCCAGCAGAGGGCGCGCGCCTGGCGTTGAGCCCAACCGCCGCCTCCAACCGGACAGGACAGGACCCGGCAGGACAGGATGGAGGTTTGGGTCCAAGCCCAGCTGTGTTTGCGGCGCGTACGGGGGCCTGGAAGCCGCTGGGCGGCGCCAAGAGTGAGGAAAACGTCCTGAAACCGCCTGAGTTTCAAAAAAAATATTTGTCACTGTTTCTTGCCCCTAACTCACGCGCCCTGAGGTGTTCCGGGAGCAGCGGCCCTTCCTGCTCCGGGCTCCCTGGCCCGGCCTTTGATGACTCGGAGCTCCCGCGGCCCCCGAGCCGCTCTGGAGACTCCCGGGAGCAGCTCCCCGATCCCATCAGCTCTTTTCTGCAGTTGCATCCTCAGTTAAGCGGCCCACTTTGAAAACACGGTCTTCGGGCGGGACGGTTTGTTTGCATCTTCCTGTGGCCAGCAGCAGTGACAGCAAAGCTATGGGCACCTCCTTCCCTTAGGAGAAAGCCGGACACTTCACCAAGTCCTCCTGTCCTTTTAGACGAAAGTGGGAAATGGTCTTCGTCGTGAAAGCCCCAGTCCTCGGGGAGCAGACCCCTGCTCTGTGGCAGTGCCATGCGCCTGGGAGCTGTGTGGAACATTCCGCAAGTGAGTCCTTTCCCTTTGCTTTGGTGACAACCTTATAGGTTGAATGGAACTTGCCAAAACTTCGTTTCCCACCGTGCCCAACACTCGTACAGCCCTCAGAGTGTTGCAGTTACAGGGTCTGACCACGGCTTGGTTTAAAGTGTGGATGTTTTGCCCACGATGAAAGGTTTAGCATGAATTTTGATTTTTAAAATGTTGCATTAAGGCTGGGTGCGGTGGTGCTCACTCCTGCAATCCTAGCATTTTGGGAGGTCAAGGCGGGCGGATCACCTGAGGTCAGGGGTTGGAGACCAGCCTGGCCAACATGGTGAAACCCCATCTCTACTGAAAATACAAAAATTATCCAGGGGTGGTGGCAGGCACTTGTACTCCCAGCTACTCGAGAGGCTGAGGCAGGAGAATCTTTTGAACCCGGGAGACGGAGGTTGCAGTGAGCCGAGATCACGTCACTGCACTCCAGCCTGGGCGACAGAGACTCCGTCTCAAAAATGAAAATAAAATGTTGCATGAATATCCTACTTTCTCATGGGAATGGTAACTAACGAAGATAGAAGTGATGACATCGCAGCACCGCAGCAATTGCTCCGGGAAGCTGAGGCGCGCTGCCCTTTTCCTCCCCACTGGGGATCCATCGGGGGCTCTGGTGGTTTCTTCCTAGACTTACTTCATGGGGACTCCCAGGCCACAGGTAGGTGAGTGCGCTTCACCTGAGCTCTTCTTTTCCAGTGGTCACTCCCGGGTCCTGCATTTGCCTTGACCACAGGACCCAGAGGCACAGGGAGAAGCCTCCCCTGGATGCGGTGAGCCGACTTCAGTGGCTGAGACTGTCCGGTAGAGCCGGGAGCACCGCATGCTTCCTGCAGATTGCGGGGAGGCCTGTGCGCATGAGCACCTGCATCCCTGAAGGGGACCTCCGTGGCGCTACCTGGTCCAGGCAGGTCACAGAGGACTCCTCGGCCCTGAGCACAAGAGGGTGCACCAAGGACAAGATTCAGCACCGTGACACCAGAACAGCTACACGGAGCCACAGGTCATTTTCCAAAAAGGCAGTTTCCAGGCCAGAAGCCACCCCTGCAGCATTGCTTTATGCTCCAAGAGAAGGTCTAGCACACAGCTCTGCTCAGATGGAAGCACCGTTCCCTGAGCGTCCTTGTCAGCACCAGGTGACTTTCTGACAGAACCCCTCCCTCCCTCTCTGCCTCGTTTTCTCAAGATGCCGTGTTTGCCTGAAAGGACATTTGCAGCCAGCAGTGGTGGTGGCTGGTCCTTTGGATGGGCACCAATGCCATTGTCAGGTCACAGGGACAGACTCCGGGAAAGGTGCTTCCCTTCCTCCAGGTATGCGCCCTGCGGGGAGTCCTCATTCTCAAGTTCAGAGTTAGCCTGCAGACTGCACTGCACCTCGCCTGCTTCTCCGTCCCCCTCCGGTCAGCGCAGGACCCACCACAGCAGGACCCCCCACCCTGTGCTCACCCAGCGCTTGTCCATGGCATGGAAACTCCTTCCTGGTCCTGATTCCCTTCTGGGTGTGGGGTGGGAGGGACATGTGGCCTGTGCCGAGGTCTAATGCTGTGTTCCCAGCATGGAAGTAAGCTCCCTGAAGAGGAGTGGGGACACCTATAGTGGCATGCAGGGATTCTGTGTAGAAAACCGTGACGTCACCCCTCCTCCCCACTCGGTTTTGCTAGTGGACCACTCCCTGGCCCCCCCTCCTTGTCTGACTCCTGGCAGGAGAGAGGAGGAGAGGATGTCACTTTTCCCCTGCACCAGCCCACCCACGGTCTGCAGGGATCCCCAAAGTTGGCCAGAGCCGCTCCACACTTGGTGGTCAAGTAACTGTCCCTCACTCTGGGCATCTGTGCCCTCTCTGGAGTTGGGAGAGGAAAGAAAGTCAAGACCTTTAAATGTGCCTTGAGTCAAGACACGTTTCTGTGGAATTGGGTGAGGAGGAGCCAGGCCCCCGTGTGCTCTCCACACCCCAGAGCTGGCGCCCTGTTCCTCGGGTCCCTAAGGACGGCAGGGAAAAACGGGGCTGCTGGCCTGTGGGTGACAGTGCAGGGGGCGCCACCTCCAGCTGATGCCCAGGGACTCCTGGGGGCCCTGGCCACTGGTCCCAGCAGTGGGTTCTGTTTCTTCTTTGCCCTGTAAATGCAAGGCCTGCCACCCCCAAAGTGCCATCTGCATTTGGTGAAATGGGAAGCTCTGTGGCTCTTACTCCTCCTGGAAGCTGAATGAGAGGTTCCCTGTCATAGGAGCCCCGGGGGTGTGGCCCATGCCCACCCTGCACTCGGCTGCAGAAAGTGAGGGACTCTCAGAGCACGGCAGAAATTTGGTTTATGTATGTCCTTGGCCAGAGTTCTGTTTTTCCTCCAGAAGAAAGGTTTCTGAACATGCTGCTGTATTCTTCATTCCTTCTTTTGGAAATGTATGAAGAAAGGGTGGCATTTTGGAGTTACTTGCCTGTGAAATCTCTAGAAAAGTCGGTAGATGTGGGTGTGTGTGGCTACCTCTGTGCCTCCCCAGCACAGTGGTGTGTGGGTAGCCCAGGCAGGCACTCAGGAAGGGCGAGGTGGAGGCTCGCGTGCTCTGAGCACAAAGTCCTGGGATCCCTTCAACCCAAGCACTGCCCGGACAGCAGCCAGCATAGCTGATAGAAGCAGCGCTATTGGTTGGAAGTCCAGCTGTTGCCAGACAGAGGGCGTCACTAGAGAGCCGCTCTCCGTGGGGGTCATTCGTGTTGTCTCCGTGTACGCGGACACTGTTGCTTCTAGGAGTCAGAAGTTCCATGTGGGTAGTGTTGGAGCAGGATTTTGGGACAGTGATGGAAAGCCTTCTCCCAAGCCAGCTGGGGAGTAAGGGGAGGGGTGGCTGGAGGAACCTGGCATCCCCGGGTTAGGGCCACAGGAGTGGCTCTGTCCGCAGCTCAGCCTCTGCCCACATCTTGCCTCTCCATGCTTTGGCCGTCAGTCTCCTCGTCCTTCCCTCTTCTCAGTGTAGGGGGACTCTGGATCAAAAGCCTCATCCTGGTTTGTATTTTACCCTTGGATGAAGCTTGCAAACCCTGGGGTTCTGTGGACCTTGCAGAAGCTTGCAGATCGTGGGCTCAGAGACTCTTCTCCCTGGGGCAGGAGGCAGTGCGGTGTGTGGACAGGGCTGGCCTGGAGCACAGTGGCTGCCCCGGGGACTTCCTAGCTTTCTGGGCCTTTCCAGCCCTGAGTGTGACCTTCCTATTCTTCATCACATCCCCTAACCTGGGAGCCTGCTGGAGCCTGCAGAATGCGGCCTCGTCCTCTTCCTCTGTGAGAAAAGAGGGGGCCTGGCAGTCCCAGGAGTCTTGGACACTTGCTCCCCACCTCCCTGGTGAATACGTTGTTGGTGGACTTCTCTCCTTGCCTTCACTCTAGAGAATGCCCCTGTTTTGTGATGTACCATGTGGTCAATGACTGACGCGTTCTTCAGGGTGTCAATATCCCTCTTGACACAGCTCTGATTTCTGGTGCTCCCGGGCTCTGCACACAGCAGGCGCCACTCTGGGCTCCGTGAGATGCATCCTGCAGTTCACTGGTCTTCTAGGTGGCTCTTTTCCCTGCGTCCTCTGCCATTGCCCTGTTCTGGGCAGGAGGCTCTCACCCTCACGTGGGGGGTCCCGCCTCCGCCCCCCGCCTCTGGCCTCCCCTCTTTGACCCTTTCCTGTAAGGGTCTGCTGGGGTCCTGTGTGTCCTGCATTGTTGATAGTTTCCCATCCTGCTTGCTGTCCTCTCCATTCTGAGGGACCTCTGAGATCCTGTGAGCAGTTTACAGGGGCCTCTCCTGGCCCCTTCACCCATGGAATTCCCGCAAAGGGGACATGTTTGTGAGGGGCACATCCTGGGAGTTTGGGACCTCAGGTGAGAAGGGAGTGCCCATCCTTGTCCGACGGGCTGCTCCAACAAAGGGCATTAGCCTGGGAGTTATAAGCCCCAGAAATGTATCGTCAGAGTTCTGAAGGCCGAGAAATCCAAGATCAAGATGCCTGAGGATTCAGAGCCTGGTGAGGGCCGGTTCCTTAAGGCAGTGCCTCTAGCTGTGTCCTCATGTGGCTGAAGGGGCCAGGGGAGGTTTCTGGGTCCTCTTTGATGAGAGCACTAACTTCTCCAGGAGAGTATTGTTAACAGTGCTGGTCTGGCTTCTTGACAATTCCAAAGGCCCCAGCTGTTCATTCTACCCCATTGGGAATTAGGCTTCAACATATAAATTTAGGGGACACTGACATTCAGGCCATAGCACGTCAAAGATGAAGTGAGGTGTGCATGTGGAAAACCTCCCAGAATCTGGATGTGGACCAGACAGAAGGAAACTGAAAGTGATGGGGTGACCGATGGTCGCTGGTCTGTGTAGGACTCAGCTGTGAACGTGGCCCTGGGCACGGTGGCAGTGGCTGTTGGAAGATGACAGGGAACATGCGGGGTTTTGGGGTGGGTGGAACCCACCATGAGTGGAAACTCCTTGCAGGCCCAGGAAGTAAAACTAGAGGAGGCTCCCCCCTCCCCTCGCTGCACAGTGTCACTTCTGTGGTGGCCCGTTGTCTGCCTTAGCGCACAGGTGCTGCTGTAACAACTCCTGTAATTACCTTCAAAAGGAGGCTTGTGCAGGTGCCTGCAGGAGACAGGAGGCCTGAAGTGCATCCTCAGTGTTCCGGGGACCGGCAAGCCTGGCAGGGGTCCACACCCTACAGTCCCAAGTGCTGCCTCAGGGACAGGCAGAGCACGTGCTTGGTTCTGACTCGCAAGGTCCCCATTTCAGAGTTGTGGATAGTCATAAAGGGTCCATGAGCATGAAGAGGGCCACAAATGACCTATGAACGTCAGGCCTCTCTGCTGCCATCAGCCAAGTGCAATGCACCAGCCTTTCGGGCCTCGAGATCCTTCTGTCCTCTGGGCCTTGCTGTTTTCCTCCTCTGGCCCCTCTGTGTGTATGCACACACACATGCATGGACGCACACACATTCATTGCAATTCCTCTCTGTTTCCCTGTATTCCCCAAAATTCTATGGGTTCCTCTTTACTCCTGAAAGATATAGGCCTGGGCCCCATCTCAGCCTGTAGAGGCCTGAACCTTTCCCAGGACTGTTTCTAATTCTCAGGTCCTGCTTTAAAATAAAAAACTAAAACGCTCTCTGGAAGGAATTATACACCAATATAAAGTGCAGGTATCCTAAGCATGTGGTGTGTATGTTGTCTTGAACTGACTACGCTGTGAAACCACCATCTGTGTCAAAACCCAGTGTTTCCCAAGACCCAGAGGTGCTCCCCAGTCACTGACTGTGATCACCTGTCCCGATCACCACTGAGCCCTGAAGGTCACCCTCTCCTGACCTCTTACAGCACTGATTGCTTCTGCCAGGCACAATTTTATACCTTTGCTGTTGAACAATCCAATCAATCCCATAATCCTATGAGATCATCATTCCCATATGACAGAGGAGAAAACTTGGGGACACGGGAGCTGTGTCCTGGATGAGGCTTGCTGGCAAGAAAAGGCAGAGCTGGAGTCCAGCCAGGAGCCCAGCACAGTCCTGTTCTTCCCCCACTAAACTGGGCTGTGTAACATGTCATGGCAGTCTGGGGAGCAAGTTAGCTCCGTGCCGATGGAGGTGCTGACGGATGCCCACCACTCTCCACTTGGTAGGAGGAAGCCTTCATGTCCCCCTCGGGTCTGCCTCTCTGTGTGACTCAGAGCCTTGGGAAAGTGGGAGGCTCAGAGGAGGAAAGGGACTTACTTGCCCAAGGCCCGCAGCTGCTAAGTGGCAGATAGGACCATTATTCTCCTGTCCCTTTCACAGAGGACGGGAGGAAAGTGAGGCCAGGTGGGGTACATGAGCTTAGCCTCCTTCCTGAGGCAGGCCCAGATCAGCTCTGCACATGGTTGGTGCTGACCTCGAATGCAGCCTGAGAGGGCACTGTCTCTGTCCTGAGTGTTGAGGTGCAGGCTTCTTCTCCTTTGTTCTGTCCACTACCAGAACAGTGGACACACCTCCAATGTGTTTCTGTGGATATTCTTGTGTGCATAGATAACTACTGTTGTAACATTTTATGCTGATTAATAATGCTGTAATGTATTGAAACCTTAAAAGGAATTGTGTAATAAAACATTTTAAATTAATATTTGTGTTTTTGTCAATGGATAAAATCAAGTTCTCTGTTAAATATTATGATTTAAAAGGTAATATTGACATTCAAAATGTTTCCTCAGCAGGAATGATGGAGAACCCTTCAGTTTTCTTTTAGGGATTAAATTTTTGAATTTCCA